TGCCAACGGGATCTTGAACGTGTCCGCGAAGGATCAGAGCACTGGAAGAACCAACACCATCACTATCACCAACGACAAGGGAAGGTTGTCTAAAGCTGACATTGATCGCATGGTGGCTGAAGCCGAGAGATACAAGGAAGAAGACGAGAAGCAACGTCAGAAAATCTCAGCCAGAAACAGCTTGGAAAACTATGCGTACAACGTCAAACAATCGATTGAAGACCCGAACGTGGAGAACAAACTCAGCTCTGCAGATTTGGAGGCGGTAAAAAGCAAGGTGCAAGAAGTAATCGATTGGTTGGACAGAAATTTACAGGCAGGCAAAGAAGAGTACGAAGAAAAAGAGAAAGATCTACAGGGAGTGTGTTCACCAATCATGGCCAAATTACATGGACAGCAGCAGAGCACCAAAGGGTCTTGTAATGGACCTACAGTAGAAGAAGTAGATTAACTGATTAGTCTCCAGTCATTTTTGGACATTCATGACTTTTTTCAAAATGATTAGAAGAGAAATCAGAGAAATATTGGTTTTACAAATAGCTTGCAGATTTTTCTAGGTTTTTTTTTGGATACATCATATTCACGGTAAAAATATTTTTCTTGACATCATTTGGAACAAGTGTCCTTACACATTATGCTAGTCCTTATTAAGACTATTTAGATGTGCTCTCTGAAAATTAGCAAACGTTATTTTTCCGGACTTTTTACAAGCCTTAGCTGAGTATTATTGAAGTGTTATTTCTTTATAAAGCTTAATGTATCTTGTAGGAAACATTAAATTTCTAGTCAAACGTTGCGATCGTGATCCTACTTTTACTATTTTAAACGAAAAAAAGCAAAAACAACTGAAAATGCAGTTCAGTGTAGTTGGTAATTGGAAGACAGTTGAATAAAAGCAGAATTACAAAATAGGTAAGAGTTCAAAGTTACATTTCTTAAGTTTCCATTCCCAATAAAAGTGCCTGTCAGCTTAATTGATGATAATCGCAGCAATTATAGACATTATAAAAAATACCGTTCAATTTAACAGATCACTTGCTGAAATACAGAGATAAAGCAGAAAACAATGCGCTGGAGGTCTTGTTTATAAGTTAAACTGATAGAATTAATTTGCACCGTTAACTTGACCTTGTTTCGTTTAAACGAGTGAAAGTTAAGTCAGATGTGTATCCGGCATATGGCGAAACACGACCGATCAGCTCGACTCGACAAGATATCAACAGGATGTTCAGTCGGTCACGTATTTCAAATTTCCATTGAAAGAAGTTCGATTCATGTTTATAATTTTCTGATTAAATGGGTGCATGGGCCAATGTGAAAACCTCAAACTGAATTACATATTAGTGAGAGAGAGGTTGCCTACAGCTGCCTAGAAAATTGCCTCCTCGTACTTTTCTTAGTACAGGAAGGTATTGGTTGTAGGACACTCAAGCGAGCAAAATATCTACTTAGAACTGGTATTTATTAACTGTGTAGTAAAAACAAACAAAGTTATCCAAAAAGTCAATCTTCAGAACAAATTAAAATTTAAAATATAACAATGAGTTATAGTGAGCATGTATGTAAATGTAAATGCCTTAACACAATAAAACACGTGCTTCCCGAATTGACTAAATGTAAGGAAAGGCCGGGGACTGCCATATGCTGCTTAGAATGATCAGGCAGAATAAAGCTGAATAAAGTGTCCAGCGATTGGTTTGGATGCGTCCTTGTCATTCCTTTCTTCTTCGGGAAGGTGTTCTCGGAATCGGTCACCTGGTCATCTTCCTTGTGCAATAGATGACATTGGTGGAAGTTTACGTGAAGCGATCAGTAATCGCTTGGGTGCAGATGTTTTTTCGACGTTATGAATTAGAGGACAAGTTTTTCATTGTGCGCGTTTCGGGTTGGTCATTAGTTTGTGGAGGTCGCGAAAATATGGTACCGGTCTCTGAATCATTTGAAGTAATTCAACTGAGTTTTTAAGAATGATTGATTTGACGGCATGATTACGCCTTGCATCTGATCGGTCGAGGGGGTAAAGTGAGAGCGTTGTAAAGTTAAGCCATTACAGTACCGCTGATCATTTTCAAGGCCCCTCTTGAAACTAAAAAAAATCGTGCTTAAATTCCTACACGCACTAGATGTTCATTTTACCACGTCTTTAATGAGCGAACACAGACACTTTGAATGATACGATTTGACCTTAACGAGTTGATGCTTTTTTTTTTAAATGAGATCAAGTCCGCAGTTTACCAAACTTTCTCACGATGGTTTAATGTATTGCTCTTTCAGGCTAATTTTGAATTAAAGTGGTATGTTTTCTTTTAGTTCTTACTTAAGTAGCATTGCAAAACGTAGTTGAGTATGGGCTTGTGAAGCTAGGCTATAAGGCCCTTAGAGATTCGTGATGCATGCTCGTTCAACAACTCGTGAAGTACCCTGGCTATCTATAAATCTCTATCAGTGATCACGCTCCAAGAATTCCTCCGATTTTTGCTGACTAATTATTGAAATTACATTACATAATTCCGCAAAGGAAACGTGCAAGCAGACGGAAACGAATACTGATAAACAACCCTTACTGTATTTCAAAATGTTTCGACGTTTCTAGCTGGAGTACGTGTAAACAAAACCTTATCTCCGCCAAAGAACTTGAAGCTCTATAAAGAGGGTTTCTTATCACGTTCACTCGACATTCCCTTGTGCACATCAGGTGGAACTAGTACACTGAAAACAGAAATTTAAATATTTGCTTCGTATAATTTAGTTTGACCATTGTAATGGAGCCACAATCGGAGAAAATTCGGAGACACATTCATTGTTTTCTTTTGGGAAAATTGGGTTGTTTCACGCTCTGCGTTCTTATTGTGGGCCTGATTGGATGTGTGGCATTTCAGTTAGTTACTTTGATCTCGATGGAAAGGCGACTTGTATCAGTCGAGCTGAAGTACAACGAGATTTCAAAAGAACGTAGCAACCACAGTTGGTCAGAGACTGAGACGAGTAGACTGCTCAGCTCCTCAAGACAAAAGCGAAATGCTGACCCGAAAAATAGTTTGTCAGACCTAACGAAAAGACTAATTGCCCTTGAGGAAAGGTATTGTTAGACTTCGCGAAGAGGACACAGTTTACTATGTGCCAGAGACACTTTGGTGTCTGCAGTTTTGTTTGATTTTTTTTAAAGATACGTCTGCTGAAAAAAATTGCGATAAAAGGATACAAATGCTTACAATTACGTAACAATGCGCCGTGTAGAAAAAAGATCACGATCTCGGTTAGATAATTACAAATCGTTTCGGTTCCCTTGTTGAAAAACTACAAAGTACATTTCACATCAGCAAATAGGTCTAACTGCAGAATTGAATATGATCATGATTTATCTTTTTTTCTTACAGCCTTGTTAGAAAGACGGTAATTAAGACGTTTGAATGCTCATCTGTGTGTGATGCACTGCAGTTTTTCGGTGTCAGTCACTAGATTTTAGTGACTCAATCAATCTCACTTACTTATTCGTTCGCAGAAATGTTATTTTGGCTGGCACTACTCTTTTTAGGATTTGCATCTCTAAAAGTACGTGTCTTCAAAATGTGCCACGAGTCATCCATTAGAGGTCAAGGAGAGCTGCGCTAAACTGCATGTCTCGCAAATAATAGTAATAGTTTTGCATTCAGGTTAGCTCTGGTCTCTTTGCTAATATTCTAGGTCGGTATTCAGCTACTGCTAAAACCAGAATGCAAAGAAATGTTTGAAAACAATAAAAAAAAAAAAAAAGAGAACCAGAGATCAAGTGCCAAAGTAAGGACTGATCGAGCCTTGAACCATTTTCTTGACCTTTCATGACTCTTGACATGTATTTCTTTTGTGAGAGCAAATTAGGCAGCTTTTTTCTTGGTTTTCATTGAGGGCTTTTTAGGGAAGTTTCATTTCAGCGATATACAGTAACTCGCTTCGAGATTTTGAACTTTCTGCACTTGAAGAAAACCAAGGTAATCAAGTGGTGGGAAGAGCAGATCAATTATCCGGCGAATTTTTCTTCTCCTTTCTCCCACAGAAATGTTCGCCTCAATGATGAACTTCAACAACGCCCTTCCCTGCGAGGGAATTAATTTTTTTCGTTTGGGTCCTTTCCTTTTTCTCTCGTATTTATCAAGTGACTCTTTGTCCGTTCAGTGTTGAAGGAATGAAGTATCATTGTCATTTTGATTTGATGTATCACTTTCTTTCTCCAACAGGACGGGACGGGACGGGACGGAAGGGATGGCGTGCCAGGTCCCCGCGGAGTCGGTGGTTAGTTATTTCAAATAATTTTGTGTTTGAAGACAGATTTAGCATGCTCTTTCTTTGCCCGCTCTGAATACAAGATCCTCTCCTGATGTATCCAAGCTGCCTTACTTCCCCTGTGATTTTAGTTTTAAACCATTACAAAGCTATTTCTAGTTTGTTTACGTTTCGAAACTTTGAGAATGCAGTCCATAATCGATAGTTTTTATAAGGCCTCCTCAAAGTTGCATCCTGATTCTCGATAGGTTTGTTCTTGCCCAGAAATCACTAATTATATGACATTAATTCGGTTGATGAAATACGTTAGTTCTGCAATAGACTTGGTAGAGATGTTTTCGGGTGTGTTTAGAGACTTTGATACGAGCAACTGTGAAATTCTATTAGATAGAATTCCTCAATATGAGCGATTTATCGTTACTAAGCAGTCTAAAGGACTGATTCATTTTCTAAAACTTTTCTAAAATTCCTAACTTACTGCGCATTCGATTTCAGGACGGGATGGAAGGGATGGAAGAGTAGGACCCGCAGGACCGAGAGGACTAAAAGGACCGAAAGGTTTTAGTTTGCAAATTAATAGTAGTCTATTATTCTTCACAAGTGTGTTGAAAATAATTGCCCCTTACATTCCATTAATATTTCCAACCACAAGTGACGGTTCTTTCAAAAACTAAAGAGAACCTAAAGGAACTGGAAAATAGAAACTCTCACCAGAACACCATCCGACTTTTCCTTTTCACAAATTGGAGATTAAACTCTTCTCGGCTATGTGTTTCATTCATATTTTGCCTGAAAAAGTGATTTAGATTTAAAGTGGCTCCATTTCCTAATTTTTTCAAAACTTAATTCAAGTGTACTTAGCCAGTCATTATATGACACTTTCATTAGAAATCTTGTGTATAGGCTAGTAACTGACCTAGCCATCATGTCCGATTTTTATGTCAGGCTGTCGAAACTTCATCAATCAACTACATTCATTACCAGGACTGACTTATTGCCTCCATAATCTATGATCTCATTTTCTTTGATACCAGGTGATACTGGTCGAACGGGAAGCACTGGATCCAAGGGATCTCCTGGCTCTCAAGGAGCGAAAGGACGAGACGGACAGGGGCTGTCTGGTGTGAGTTATAACCGCTGGGGACGAAAGAACTGCTCTGGAGATGCTACTTTGGTGTACACAGGTAGAGGGAAAAAGCATTTTATGTAAAAGAAGAGTAATCTAACATGCCATTACTCTCCTATTTTCATTTTGATATCGTTAGTGTTGTTCTTCTCTAACCGAGTCAAAAAAGTAAATGACGTGAGCTCAGGAGTAACAAAGCAGTCTTGAAAAGGAATGATGCAAGGTCACAGCGAAGGCCATTTCAAATATCTCTTCAAAAGTTATCACCGGGTGACGAAAATTCATTTTGTCTTGGTGGAATTTTTTGTATTGTTGTTTTTTATACGTTTGTTTGACCTTTTTCGATTTATTCTTCCCAAGTCGTAACGGGTATACTTTTTGTTAGTAAACCAAATTTTGGATTTCAGCAAGCTGTAATTTAAGCTTTTCGAGTCTTCTTTTAATTCAGTTCCTTTTTTTTTTTTTTCGAAAGGATATATGGGCGGTGGGTATTACACTCATATCGGTGGTGGTACCAAGTACGTTTGTCTTACCACCAAACCCATTTATGATAAGTTCGTTGATGGTTGGCAAGGCGCAGCAGCGATCTATGGCACCGAATATCAAACCTCAACATTCCCAGGCTTAAAGAACCTCTACCAGCATGACGCACCATGTGCTGTGTGTTATTTTAGAACACGGGGCTCACAAATAATGATACCTGGAACAAACAAGTGCCCCGCTGGTTGTTCCAGAGAATACAAGGGGTAACTCATGACATCACATTATAAGCACGCCCATCACAGTGAATATGTGTGCGTTGACGAAGGTGCAGAGGCTGTGGATGGAGGTCACAGTGACACCGATGGAGCTCTGTTGTACGTGGTCGAGGGAAGCTGTAGTCACGCCTTGCCATGCGGACCGTACAGAGACACCCATGAACTCACTTGTGTCGTTTGCACCAAATAGTTCAGTTTTTAGGTCTCCCCTTACATTTAAATACTATGCTTGATTTTAAACTTCAAGCATTATAACAATCAAAGAAAAAAGTCAAATTTAATCGTCATTTTGAGTTAGTTTCCTTAATAAATGTAGTTTATGCCATAAAGGGATGATGTACTGAAAATAATGCTTCTGCAATCTAAATATAAAACTACGAATTACGTTTTTAACGAAACTAACTTTATGTTGCCAGATATTTTTAAATCGGGAAATCGGGAACCGAAAGAAAAATGTTGAGATACAATTTTATGGGATATCGATAAATGAAAGAAATAAACTGACACATGAACCTCGAAACTCGGCATTTAGACTCGTACATTTTAAAAATGTCCGAATTCTGCGCAGGGTAACCTCCGCTAACCATCCAGGAGAAGCGAAAATATTGTAAGCAGAGGAGTCTGATCAAGAGCAAAAAAAATCTGCAAACTCCTGACCAGATGTCACAAAGGAGTCAAAGACTGAGCTTAATGATAAATCCAGCTTGCCTTTCTTAAGCCTTTCACTCCCAAGATCTCCTTACTGTCTGCCAGACAATTCTTATGATGCTAGTTTGGAGAATTTGGTATTGGATCAGCTGATCATCCACCGATTTTCTTTTTTCTCTAATTCTGATTACTCGTATGCTTGATATTGTATTGATATTGTATTGATATTGTATTGATATTGTATTGATATTGTATTGATATTGTATTGATATTGTATTGATATTGTATTGATATTGTATTGATATTGTATTGATATTGTATTGATATTGTATTGATATTGTATTGATATTGTATTGATATTGTATTGATATNTACAGTCTCATTGTAAGAAACACAGTACATTTGAATGAATCAATTCATATCATAAATATTTATTGAGGAAAAATGTTTACAAAATCATTGTCTGCTTACATCATGGCATTAGGAACAAAAGAAATTCCTAGAGTACATAATTACAAATTTCAATATTTTTGTATGGTGAATGCGGTAGAGTGACTGATTATTTTCACTTCACCTTGGAAGAAAATAGAGCACCTAGTTAGTACATGTAAAATTAATATAGAACAAAAGAAAACAATGGATTCAGAGTTTAACCACTGACTATAAGTCTGCATAAATTTTCAAGGTCATATGCAAACAACTTTTTCATCCATCCACTAATGGTGGGAGATAATTTGACAACATAGCACATACAAAAAAAATCATGTCAATAACACCATTTCTACATAAGGTTATAGGTACAAAATCTAAAATGTGATAATTTTTTATTCTCTCAATTGCCCTTTCCACATGGATTCTAAGAGAGGCAATACGTCGAGTTTCCAATAGCTCGTTTTCTGTGAATTGTCCTGACTGGTTCATGAAGGGAGAAAGGTTAACACGGACACCTTTAGATGCTAACATGTCTTTTATGTTAAAACCTCGATCGGCTGTTATTACATCTCCTCTTTCAAGTTTGTCAATTAATCCTGACAGTTGAGTTATCTCTTTGTCTGAAATGCTTCCACCATACAATGTTGAAACAAATGAGATCCCTCCTTTGGGTACAATGCCAACTAGGGCTTTAAGAGTGTTAGTGTTTTTATAAGATGAGAAAGTCAGTTGTTGGGCTTCTGGGTTACGGGGCTTCTCAATATATATCTCAGTAGCATCAAGGAGGAGAGTAGTTGATGAATATTTCTTCAAGAAACATTCGGGCATGTGTATTTTCACAATGTCCTTTGATGGGAAAATGTCTAACTCTTTAAACCTGAAATACATGAACTTGATCCATGTTGTCACTATTTGAGACACTACACTTTGACTAACTCCAAATCTTGTTGTTAAGTCTTCCTCTAGTAACCCAACTTTCAATCTGCACAAAACCATAAAGAATTCATTTTCAATTGATAATACTTGACTTGGTCCACTTTTATACCTACTTTTCAAATCCTTTCGATCTTCAGTGTTGTGATAGTCTAGCATTGATGCAGCCTCTCTTCCTAGAAAGTCAAGTGCAGTTGAAAACATTTCATAGTTTTCAAAGCCAGTGTAAAATCGTATCAGTTTATCATTTTCCTTGACACTCTCGATTGAAAACTCTTTCTTCTTCATCAATAGTTCCAGTTCTTTTCTAGCTGATCTTTCCTCTTCTAGCTGTCTTTCAAGTTCTTTGATTCTAGCCAATAAATCACGTTCCTTTGTTTGGCAGGTAGCTTCGTCTGCACAGTTGTTTTCGTGAATCTCCAGATTATTGTTTTCCATTTCCTCGGATTCCACATCATTTGAAGTGTTGTTCTCTGTATTTATATCTATGGTGTGTTGAGTGCTGTGGGTTATGGCACATGTAGTCTGTGAATCACTTGTACTCGAGTTAAAAAAATTCGGTGACACATTTGCCACTTGGCTGTACGATGGCTTGCGTCTCTTTGCCTTTTCGACCGTAAATACAAACTTAGTGGGAACTGAACCAGGCTTTAAATATGTTTGAGCCACCCAGTGCTTTCATAAAGCATCCTTCTTCAAAATGCTGGCTGCAAACAAACGAGTTCTTCGTTAATGGTGTATTTTGGCACCGTAATTTGACAATCCATTGAGTCAGTAAAGACTTGTTTTTTAACGGAAAGGGATGCCATGACAAAATCTTTGCATTCCGGTTTTGAGCTTCTGCAGCCATAAGCTATACAGTGTTTCACCATAGTAAAACAGGTAAAATACTTGTAAGTTAGTACAACCTTCTCTCAAATTCTTAACGTTGTACAGAAATCACTTGGAGACGCCACGGACACTGAGCGACAGTCGACCCTAATGCCTCACTTTGGTGCTAAATACCGCTGGAGTGTCTGATCGGTGCATTCAACTCCAATAAGGGCTATTAATCAACCTGCTTAAGGTGGCTCGTACCAGTTTCCTCGCACAGGGAACAGGTCACTCTTGTGTGACGCGCGCGAGAGAAACGTGCGAAAGAAGCGCGAGATCAGAAGATGAAAATTCAAAACAAAGATGGCGGCGCGTGGAATTTTTTCTACTTTTGTGAGAAGTTTACCTAAGAGCTTGTATTTGATGTGTTGAGCGGCCACTATGAATGCAGGAGATAGAAACTAAGATAACGAAGACGATTTTCGGAGAAGTAAAGGTTGCTTCACTTCACATTTAAAAGAAATATTCAACCGATATGAAATCTTGCGACGGCGAAAAAAGAAGAACTCAAGTGAAGGATAATCTACCTGAAGTGGAAGAAGACTTTGAAACTTT